GATCCATCTAATTTTTTTTGAAACAAAAAACATATAGTACATAAATATAAAGTGCAAAATATGAAATATTAGAGGTTTTTATTTGACATATTTTCAAAATAAGAAGGAAATATAACCACCGTCCATAGAATTCTCACATTTTATTTTTAATAATGATTTTTCTAGTAAAGTTTTATTTGCTTAAAAACACCATTTAGCAAAAAAAAAACCCAACGAGCCAAAATATAATAATTTGAATAATAAATAGGCTTATCAGATATATATCCAAATCTATAAATACACATATTATATATATTATATGTATTATATAATAACTTATATTTATACATATATATAAATATACGAAGCGAAGCGGATATTCGGTACTAAAAAATCAATATTTGTTATTTGCTTCGGTTTTTACGAATACTAGATTTTCATATTTGCTTCGGTTCAATATCTTATAGATATTTGGATTTTTCGAATCAAATCGAAACGAATATCGAAACGAAGCTAATCTAACGAATATTTTGCCCAGGGCTAACACAGCTACCACTTGACACCTCATACAGCTAAAGCATCAAATCAGCTGATGAAACACGATCTATCTTTATTCAGTACCGTCAGGTTAAAAGATTGCCCACGTGTTTCCCGTTTTACTATTCTTGGACATTTTTCAATTTTGCTTCACTCTTTTTTGATATCCACATTTCCAGAAACGACCAAGAAGAACGATTCAATAAAAAAAAAACAAAGACCATTCTCCTATACTTTAATTAATAAATTGACTAACATGCAATGAACCTAATCCTAAATTAGTTACCATAACTTAAAGTCATTAGATAAAATCTTCATTCTCTTCCTTAACTAAGAAGACTCTTCTTGTAAATCTTCACTTCCTTCAAACGAATCCATAAACAAAAGCTTCGTACAATTCGCCTTCGTGATTTTAGCTTTCGAAATCTTTCTTCTAAGGTTTCGGATCTTAGTTAGCTAAACCCTTGGATCCATAAATCTCTTCTATCAGTTTATCTCGTTCAATCAATTGGGTAAGTTGTAAAGGAAGGAACTTGGAATCCATGGGGCAGGAGAAGCTAGGGTTTTTCACTCTCTCGTTTCTTCTGATCTTGAATCTAGCTCTGGGTAGATTCGTGGTGGAGAAGAACAATCTCAAAGTTACATCACCCGAATCGATCAAAGGTGTTTACGAATGTGCTATTGGGAATTTCGGAGTTCCTCAGTACGGTGGTACTTTAGTCGGCACCGTCGTGTATCCTAAATCGAATCAGAAAGCTTGTAAGAGCTACAACGATTTCGATATCTCCTTCAAATCTAAGCCTGGACGATTACCCACTTTTGTCCTCATCGATCGTGGAGGTTCGATTTCGATTTCTGTATATAAAAATTCTCTTCCTTTTTTAGCTGTTCCCTTAATTGGATTGAAAAGATCTGTTTTTGATTCGATTTTGGAACTGAATTTTGTGTTAATGAATGAATATGCAGATTGTTTCTTCACTTTGAAAGCATGGACAGCTCAACAAGCTGGAGCAGCAGCTATTCTTGTGGCTGATAGTAAAGCTGAGCCTTTGATTACAATGGATACACCTGAAGAGGATAAATCTGATGCGGATTATCTGCAAAACATTACTATTCCTTCTGCTCTCATTACTAAGTCTTTGGGAGACAGTATAAAATCTGCGCTTTCTGGTGGTGATATGGTTAACATGAAGCTAGACTGGACTGAGTCGGTTCCCCATCCTGATGAGCGTGTTGAATACGAGCTCTGGACTAATAGTAATGACGTCTGTGGGAAGAAGTGTGATACTCAGATTGATTTTCTCAAGAATTTCAAAGGAGCTGCTCAGATTCTTGAGAAAGGAGGGCATACTCAGTTCACGCCTCATTATATCACCTGGTACTGTCCTGAGGCCTTTACGTTGAGTAAACAGTGCAAGTCTCAGTGCATCAACCATGGAAGGTATTGTGCGCCTGATCCTGAGCAGGATTTCACGAAAGGATATGATGGAAAGGATGTTGTCGTTCAGAATCTACGCCAGGCTTGTGTCTATAGAGTGATGAATGAAACTGGTAAGCCGTGGGTCTGGTGGGACTATGTGACTGACTTTGCCATCCGGTGTCCAATGAAGGAGAAGAAGTACACCAAGGAATGCGCAGACGGAATTATCAAGTCCCTCGGTTAGTATAATGCTTCTTTACTCCCATGGGCCTTACTCCTGTGAAAATATTTAATTGTCTTATTATCTGTGGCTGGAGATTAGTCTGGAAACTGAATAGTATTTTTAGGCTATCAGCTCGTCCTTGATAGAGAATAACCAACTAATTGATATCAATCAGCTTACCTTGTATGGCCTACTTGAGGCCTTAACCTGTTAGATATTTTGTTACTTTCAAGTTTCTGCATTTCCTTCTAAACTTTCTGACAACCAGCCGAAATGGCTAATTTTGAATTTGATTTCTGTTATATGAATTCAGGCATTGATCTCAAGAAGGTTGACAAGTGTATCGGAGACCCGGAAGCAGATGTGGAGAACCCAGTTCTTAAAGCAGAACAAGAGTCCCAGGTTTGTCTTTTGTAGACCAATTGGCTCTTACACTTATCTTCTAGAATCTTTTCTATTTTAAATTGCTACATATTCTCCATTCCATGTGTTCTTAAAATGAGTCTGTTTCAGATAGGCAAAGGTTCCCGTGGAGACGTGACTATACTCCCGACTCTTGTCGTGAACAACAGACAATACAGAGGTATTTGGGAAAGTTGAATTGTTAGTTGTTCTCTCTTTCTACAGCATCGTACTTTTTCTTTTGCTAATTGAATCATGTTCATGTATTTAGGTAAACTGGAAAAAGGTGCAGTACTCAAAGCTATGTGTTCGGGTTTTCAAGAGTCAACAGAACCAGCTATCTGTCTTACTGAAGGTTCTATCATCCACCCTTTTTTTAATTCAACAGACATATATCTTGATTGGCCTATATACAATACACATTTTTGTTATTGTAAACCTTAAATGAGAGTTTTCCTTGAGATTTTATAGATATGCTTATGATTTTTGCAGATTTGGAAACTAATGAATGTTTGGAAAACAACGGTGGATGCTGGCAAGACAAAGCTGCCAACATTACTGCATGCCGGGTATCATTCTGGCTAGCTATATTTTTCGTTTCTAACTTTTGGTTTTGTTGTTACTACTAAGACTCATTACTCTTATTTTGATCTGAATCGCCATTGTAGGATACTTTTAGGGGAAGGTTGTGTGAGTGCCCAACTGTTCAAGGTGTTAAATTTGCTGGTGACGGTTACACTCACTGCAAAGGTAAACAAACTATCTTTTATTTGTGTATCTTGACTTGTTTTCTGTGGAACAAAATACAGTATAGTGTCATAGTCTCTGCTTAATTAGTCTATTTTTCCAGTATTTTATCACTGGTAGTTCTTTTGAAGGGATTGAATGAATGAGCAATAGTCAAATTTGATGGTCTTTTTGTTTTCACTAACAATAAATCTTTCTTTGAATAAGTTTAAACTCGAAGGAAATTCAATCATATAAGTGAGTGTGAGAATAATTTTTGTTTTGTTTTTTGCTTGCTGTGAAAAGCAGTGTTCTTAATTGTTTTTACTGTTCTACAATTTTTTAAAGGAAATGCAAGTTGTCTTACTATAGTATTTATTAAGGTGCATTTTTTCCGGTATCTGTACGTATGACCTGCTTTCAACTTTATTTCACTTGGCAGCCTCTGGAGCTTTGCATTGTGGTATCAACAATGGAGGATGCTGGAGAGAAACCCGAGGTGGCTTCACTTACTCTGCTTGTGTAGTAAGTCTTCTTCTATGTCAATGTTTAACATTTTGAATAATAATGATCTTCTTAATCTAAAATATAATTTCTTTGGTTCTCGAAATGAATATTTCAGGATGATCATTCAAAAGATTGCAAATGCCCACATGGTTTCAAGGGCGATGGAGTGAAGAGCTGTGAAGGTACTTGTTAAGTAATATTTCCTAGCAGATATATACGTGGTACACTTGCATATAGGTACTAGCCATGTGAGCCAAATACTATTAGAAAACATCTACATCATATTGTGTCTAGTGCTATGTATCGTATAAGGGTTTGCTAATATATACTCCCTTGGTTTTAACAAAGATGTTTTGGAGTATTTGCTAATAAAACGTGCCAAATATCATATTTAACATGGAGGCTACTAGTAACATGCTATCAGCCTATTGTTTATATGCATGTTGGTCTAGAATGTTTTGAACCGATACACAATTGGAATGAGATCGTTGAATGTCGAATTCAAATTCATAATCATGTTCTTCTTTTTATTGAATGTGTTAGATGTGGACGAGTGCAAAGAAAAAAAAGTGTGCCAGTGCCCAGATTGCAAATGTAAAAACACATGGGGAAGTTATGAATGCAGCTGCAACAATGGCCTGCTTTACATGCGTGAACATGACACTTGCATAGGTAAAAAGAGATATCCGTTGCTCTTTAAACCCATTTTGAATTTAGACCGAGTAATGAACTGATATTTGGTTTTCGGATTTGGTGGGTTTTGGCTAACACTGTGAGCTGAATATGTAGGTTCAGGCAAAGTTGGAACTACAAAACTCAGCTGGAGCTTTTTGTGGATTCTTATAATCGGAGTTGGAGTTGCAGGTCTTTCTGGATATGCAGTCTACAAATACAGGATCAGAGTATGTTTTTCTTTACCCAGGCCTTGTTATCATATTATGTATATGAAGATTTTTGCAGTCTAGATAGATGTTAATAAGTAAAAATCAAAATTGTGCAGAGTTACATGGACGCGGAAATCAGAGGGATCATGGCACAGTACATGCCTTTGGAAAGCCAACCACCCAACACAAGTGGTCCTCATATGGATATCTGAGGGAAGCTATCAACACAAGCCGAGAGACTCTGTTTCTATGAGTAGCTTCTTTTAAGTTTCCATGTAAACGAATCTATCGACTTATGTAACTCTAGAAGAAGAAAAAGAAAAAGCCACAAAATAAGTGTATCTGCACATTTTGTAAGAGATGTGGGTTTGCAGATGGAATCCCTCTTTGGTCTGCATAATACTCTTACAATGTAAAATAGACATAAATGGATGAATAATGAGTAGAGAGTTACATTATTTACTATTGAAAACATACTTGACCCCCCCCAAACAAATACAAAAGAAGAAGAATAAAACTCTGATTGAAGTTTATACTTTCTCCAGCTCAACTCTGTGTTTCTCTATCTGTTCTTTCACTAGCTTCTGCGATTCTCGGATAAGCCTTGTGTGCTTCTTTATCAGCTCTTCCTTTGTCTTGAGCTCTTCCTTCATTACTGCAATCTCCTGTTAAAAAATAAAACAGAGCAGAAACTGGTTAAGACAAATGGGTTTGGGAATTCACATTACGAGAAGAACCAAAGCTTAGCTAACCTTCTTAAGGCTTTCAGCTCTAGTGGGTGCACGATCTTCTCGCTTCAATCCCATGAAATAAAGCTGAAGCTTTTTCGCAGCTTCCATAAAATCTCTGGCATGGCGCTCAACGTCAACTGCACAATTCATTGAGAGGAGTTATATAAGACATTAGCCGTTTCCCTTGTATCAATCCACAAATCAAATCAAATGAACATAGATATAGAGCAGGCAAGCTAGAGTATCGATTAGGATCAATGCTTTGGTTTGAGATGAATTCTAAGCAAAACATTCACTCAGATCATAAGCTAAGCAAGTGATCTGAACACGAAACGAGTAAGAGTCATCTAAATTATATTCTCCAGCATAAACACACAAAACTTCCAACAAGTAGAGACTCCAAACCAAATCTTAGAAGGTGAAACTGGCAAATTTCAAAATCAGTCAATTCTGGTTCAAAAACTTGAAATGGTATGAACCGAGACTATAACAATTCAAGATGAAGATTAGAAAAGGGACTCACTTTGATGGGAAGGGTGAGGTGAGCGGTCGATCGCTTGAAGCTCTCTAGCTGGCAAACATGGCAGCAGAGCAGCTTCCAAAGCCGTGACGCAAGCCATAATGTCCTCTATCTCATGATTCTGATTGTTCGAGGACGTCTCCGGTGAAGTAATTCCCGGTGGATGGTCAGGTGGAGACGGCGAGGGGTCAGACGACGGAGGCGGCTTTTGCTGATAATCCATTAACGCCGATCTCGATCTCTCTCTTTCTCTCTGCTTATTTTGCCTTAAGGTTTTAGTGGAAAAGTCTGAGAGATGGGCTTCTAAATTGGGCTTGTTCGGCCCATTTATTTACTCACACTCTCAATTCTTGAAAAATATAAATTACTAATCTTATTTTTTTTTTCTTTTATATGCTGTTCTTGTTGAAAATATAAATATAAATTACTTTTTTTTTTTGGTGCACCCCGAATATAATTTACTAATCTTAAAAATCAACGCTTTAAAAATATTTCTTTCCTCATGTAATATGTTTCCTAGGAAAATAAAAATAAATTAATTATATTCTAACTCAAGAGTAGACTGTTTGGTATTTAGTTATTTAGCTATGGATAATGAAATTTGTAAACTGAGTAGCCATTGACCAAAAATTGTAAATGTTCTCTTCATGATCAGTGACAATCTTTTACACATAAACACATCTTATTCTTTTCCTTATGCGACATATCATTCGGATGAAAAACAGATCAAAACAAAAACATTAGGATAGATAGAACTCGCACGTTAATAAAGTGACAGACATACGAAGACTATGATTAACTACTACTACTTAAAACAACATTTGATTAGACATCAAGCCTCCCGGTCGGAGAAAGTGTGCTACTCCGGTATCTAGGAGACAAGTTAACAAACTCCAAAGCTTGTGTTCTGAGCTGAACCGGATAATCAGCTGCACAACCGATCCTTGGACCCGCTCCGGTACACCATTTCAGCGACAACTGATGACCCAACTGTAAGGACTTCGACTGTTTCTTTGAGTTGATCCTTAGTAGCATTGACTTCTGCGGCACATCAGCTTTTGGACTCCCAAGTCCACCTGAGAGCGTTCTCTGGTAACTACTACGTTTAGCCTCCTCTAGTGTTCCGAGTGTTCCGTTACCGTTCTCATCTGTTTCAGTCTCTGTTTTGAATGTTGCGTCCTCTTTCTCTAACGGCGCGGGTTCATCTCCTCCGTTGGTTTTAACGTAATCCTCGTAGTTGTCTGAATCTTCACTAGCTTTGTGCACCTACACAGACAAAACTACATTAGATATCAAGTAGTCTCTTTTCTAAACAACCAAACTCTAGTTAATAATATCATTCAGCAACCAAGAGGTTAGAACAAGTTAGATTAGTCTATAAATACAAATCAAGTTTTGATTGCTTAAAGGATGAGTGTAACACAAGGGTTAACCTCAACATCGTCTAGGTTCACAGCGTTCTCTCTGAGAAACGAAAGGAATGTGTCGAGGCTATCATCTGACGGCCTGTAATGTCCGCTGTATGCTGAGATTGTCTGAAAAGCAAATGGAGACATAATGATCAGACAAGAAAATCACAATAGGCAGATATATATAAAAAAAAGCTTGATAACGTCTTGATGTCACAAATAATTATTGGTATCATTACCTTGAGAACTCCATCATCAACAATCACCCTCCCGGCGGCTAATGTTGCTCCTCCGGCCAAAAAGCTTGAGTGATGGAACCTTCCTTTCTTCTTCTGAAGTAACCATAAATCAAGAAAGGACGATCCATTAGAATCTTCTTCAGTAATAATATCAAATCAAAACCAATTGAAAGATATACTGGTTTGACTTACCAGACCGGCATAGAGTTTTTTGAAAGTACTCATAACAAAGATCCATTTTGTCCCCTCGGATCCATGCATAGTGTGTAGAAACTTTCCAGTTAATTTGTGAACAATCTTCCCTTCTATGATCACATACTCATACTCTTCCCTCTCTTGCTGATACCCCAAAAAAAGACATGAGAAATCACCAAAACATGTAAAATTGACAAGAGAAGAAATGGCACATACAGGTCCAAGATATCTAATGCATTGCTGCTTAAGCTTCGACCTCGGACATTCGTTAAGATCCAGATCTATCCCTCCTCCAACATCCAACCTACAAAACAGAACCGATATGTTACAAAGATACAGATAAGAACTATCACTTAGAAGAATATTCTTGAACTACAAGAAAACACTAACAGAGGGAACCTTAAATAGACATGATGGATTGAACAGCGAAAAATCAAGAACCGGTTTAGATAAACCAGGAGCCAATGTGGTTTTAAGAAGAATTTAACCATTACCAGTAAAAGAATGGCTGACCGGCATCAGCTTTACACCATTCTTCATAGTATTTATGCAGGTTGTGTCCATACCGGTGTCGAGGATCAATCTGAAATTGAAGTGTCCATATTTTTTAGTCTTCTTGTTACAGTTTGATCAGAATATTAACCCAACAAAGCAAAAAAAAAATTGTGGAGAAAGGGTAAAAAAAAAAAGAAATTACAGCTTCAATCCAATGCTGAAAAGCAAGTTTCTGAGCTTTGTCGACTATGGACAGTCCCTTCCCCACCTAACCATAACCAAACCCACAAGATTACAAAAACCAATTAACCAAGTGGATATTTTTTTTCTTACTATAATATATTTTAAAATATTGGACGTGTTTTTTTATTCTTGATTTTAATCAAGAAGACTACTCAAAAAGAGAAAAACGAAATCGTCAATTATAAGTTCAAATAGTAAAAAAAATTTTGATGTTTTAGCAAGTTAGTGTATCAGTTTAAAGTTTTTACTGGAAAAAAAGAAAAAAGAGACAAACCTTGGAAGCATTCAAGCTAACACGATTCCACCTAGAAACAGCAGTTTCAGGTCTCGAGTAATCAAAAAACGAAATAGTACTATGATTAAGCCTCGCATAATCCATCGCTTGCCACCTTCATTACCATTAATCAATACGATTAATGACTGACTCATACACTAATCTCTGCTACTAATAATTAAAACTTTATAATTAGGAAAAAGTTACCAGAGCTCTTCGGCGACGACGACAGAGTCAGCTAACCTACGCCGCGTGCGATAACTTCTATAAACCTTCTGCACTTTCACAGCCGCCAAGCTAGTCGAGTCTTTGTCTTCTTCTTCACAGGCGCTTTCTCCGTGTGAGGATTTCTCCGGGACTAAAGATTCATCCCGGCGGTCTACCGGAGAAATGAGGATCTCTCCGGGGCCGTGTGAGAACGGCGAAGACTGGAAATCGAAGTTGGCAACTACCTGCATCTTCAGGACCAAATAGGATCTATCTCTCTCTCTCTGTCAAACAGTTCGATTTCTACTGTCTGAAAGAAGGACAACTCAAGAGATGATAATGAATGAGAAGGGGAGAGAGAGAAGAGACTTTGTGTTTGTTTGTTACTATCAAAGTGTTGTGTTATGTTTGTGTTTTTATTTATAGAATTAATTCACCCAATTTCTGACCTTTTCTTTAATATCCTATTTGGTTCTTTATTTTCTTAATATTTTGGTTTCTTTTTCCCATTTTGACTCATTCTTTCTTCCTTTGTTTTTAAGTCTGTTTTCCTTATAAAGAAATTGACAGGTAAGAATATTGTGGTTGTTTTGTTTTTATTGTTTGCAGTTGATTGTGAATATTATAAGATTAAATGTACATGCCATTTGATTTATTCTGTTAATCAATGCAGGTTAGGTTTGCGAACTAAAAAAAAAAAAAAATCAATGTAGGTTAAGCCAAGCGTCTAATGTAAGTGGGAGGCATGGTCGTTTTGGGATCGCATTTCAAGGGTTCTTTATCCAAGTTGTTACAAATCTTGTTGTGATGTGAAAAAAATCAAATAAAAGGTTGGATCGAAGAATGGAGACTATCTTAGAGTATTGATTTACGTATATTTTGGTAGCTATATAGTATTTGGCTATATCAATGTCTCTTTTACCACATATGATAACATACGGGTCTATAAAGAATTATTCAGATCTAGATTGTCTTCTACTTACGGGTGATACATTAACGTTTTGCTTAGATTAGTACATTGGAAAAAATTCTCAATTAAGCGTATTTTTTGTTTTTTTTCCATGTTCAGATGATCTACTTCTATACTTGAAGATTCATACGAAGTATCTATGAAAAGTAAAGTTCAATATTTATAAAAAGGCATCTATCTTTTTACTTAAATAAAAGAATGTTCAACTACATGATCATTTCTTAGGTTAATTGCTGAATAATTTCATCCACAACTACACTATATATTTTTATCAATAACAACTAATATATTCTTTTTGTCCTATAATAAATGTTGTTTTCAAATGAATCACATTAACTTTATAAAAAAAAAAGAATACTTTAAAATTTCTAATAATATACAAAGTAAAACAAACACAAGTTGACCGCATTGTTTATTAACATTTGAGGTTACATTGCGTACTTTATGCTAAACTCACATTAATTAAAAACAGAAAATTAGCATGTATTTTAAAAACCGAAAATAATGGTAAAACGAAGAAAAGATTACATTGATATACCTTTGAGAAGAATAGTATAAGATAATATATATATATATATATATATATATAAGATAAAAATCTATACTAAATGCGACAAGTACGATTAACTAATTAAGAGAAAAGAAAACAAAAGTATGGGTGGATGGTGGTTAAGGTAATTAACTATTGTAAAACAAGAAAATGCCCTTCTAGCTAGTAGTGATGGTTCTCTCTTGCTTCTCTGTAACCTTTTCTTTTAGTTCATTAATTTAAGAAAGCCACTTGAGCATTTTCATAGAGTTTCCAATCATATATATGAAAGTAAACAACATGCGCCTCTCTTTGCAATACTATCGTCTCTTATACATATCTGTCTATAAAAAAACAGGGCCGATCTTATACAAAAACGTGGATACGTGTAATGTGTAACTATAACAATGGAGGTGAAAATATATGCGCAAAACTCATGAATGACTACTGACTAGACTATACACACAACTTCAAAAATATCATAATGGTAAAATACAAAATGTCTGGCTCTCTATCCATCAAGAAGTTAAATATCATTCTAATGTGTAAGTGAAGGTCATCAATAAAATACCCTGGGATTAGAATCTATACATGAAATGCATTTTGATAATCGAATATTACTGATTTTATAAAGAAAGAAGATGAAAAGGTGAAATAATTATCACTTTTTCTTGTTTAGTGGGTCTCCAAATGACTTATTAATTAATTTACAAATGCTCTTTGTTATCCAAAAGAATATAAAGGTTACATAATTCAAGTGCATCAGAACGAAACATGCGATGTCAGGCTTAATTAATCTAGTCGAAAATTAGTAGTATGTATAATTTGTTTTTTTATATATAATAAAAGAATATACCTATGCAGTTTTCAAACATCCCTTCACTTTCATAATATACATTCATTATGTTCCCTTTCTTCTGTTTTCTGGTCATAATGCATCTGACACACTACCGACCCAATGTTTCATATTTATACAAATGTTTTGATTATGAGTTTTTGATATTCATTTTCATCCTCATATTTGTTACAACGACATGTAATAATTTAATCACGCGTGTGGAAATGACAAGCGTCAAACTAAAAATAGTGGTCGCGTTTAAAACTACTATCACTATTGATATATATTATCATTGGAATAATGGGCACTATGCAAAAAGGAAAAACAAAAAAGTTACGATGTTCGGAAGAGAGACGATGAGACGAGACATGCATCATCAACCACTATTTCACATCCACAGGATTCATTTTATTGACTCATCTCTATTACTAGCTCTTAACGTACCGACATATATATACACAAAGTCACAAACACAGCAGAAGTATATTCTAACACAAAAACAATGTCTAACGGTTTCACCATATGATTTTTGATGAATTGTAAAAGGAAAATCACTAATTTTGTATTCATCATGCGGACTTATGAAAGGAAAATCACTAAATATGTCATGAAAGGAATTTGTCAACAAAAAACCAAATAAGTCAACAAAATAATGAGACCGTAACGAAAGTACATCTTTTAAGCTTCAAGTATTTGATTTAGGGGCATATTTATTTTGGTTACAATCAAAGTAATATAAATATTTATAACGAAATGGTCACATGTTAAATTAGTCAAACTAGTCCTGACCTAAAATGGACACTCACATACTACGTTGGATTTTTTCTTCGAGGTTGGCTAATTTGACTTTGGTTTCAAGGTACAGTTCCTATTGAAATAAATAGAGTTTCGGTGTTTAATAAATTAGTGAAAATTTTATAAAATTATTAAATTTGGTTCGGTTAGGTCTCGAACTCGGAATTGTTGTCGTTCTTTAAAGTCCACATGGCTAATTTACGTACGTAAGTACGTTTGCATGATCGGCATGGAAGTAGTCATCGATTAGTTTCAAAATTTCAATTATGTCTAGTTTAATTAGTGCTAATTCTAATTAAGTAAACTGTTGTGGTTTAGACGTCTTCGTCAATTGTAAGGTAAGTGGTACGTTACATAGTCCATATAGAAGAAAAGAGTCTTCTGAGTTGCTAATCTTCTATTCTAATTTAATCAGAGTTTTTCTGAATTTCAAGTTTGGTGTGCTAATATTATTACGCTCAGAACATTTTGCTAAATTTCATGTCTAATGTCTCTTAATGTAAATATAGTAATCGACACGAAGCATGTACATGAATTTTATTAATTTTTTATCTTATACAGCATGTAAAGTGATCAATATATTAATATTAATCGTTGACGGATGTAAAAATGGAACAAGAAAATGATATATAAACTTTGTTTGGTTGAAGAGTGACGAAGTAACGTAGAAAGTAGCCGGAAGAACACATATATATGTGGTCCACGTGATCGGACTTCTTCGTACGACCACTACCAACGACTCTATCTCTTTGAGTCCTTGCATGTGATTCACATTGATCTGCTCGTATATACGTACGGTCACATTCCCCAAAGTCCACACATGTATCGATCTGGCATGGTGTTTTGGTTTTATGTGGTGTATTTTTTTCGACCAATTCATATAAAATATCTAAAGACTAAAATATTATACTTTAATATTCCATTTATGATTTCAAAGTTTCTTAACCAAAAAACTTGCGAAGGTGTTAGGATCAACGATCGACGTTGCATTATAATACACATGACTCTCAAAATATTTAGATCACCGGCCGCCCAGTCACCCACCGAAGTACTTACTCTACAAAACTGTGTGTTCCCAAGGAAATTTATGTAGAACACGACACGAGGCCAAATACGCATAACGCATATGATACTAATTAATTGGAAAGATGATAATTTGTATATTGATTCTGTCCTACCACCTAATTGTTCCACTACAGCTTGGAAATTTTTGCTGATACCAAAAATTATATTTCTGTCTGTTACGTACGTTTATGTCCCACGAGATTTCTCGAATAAATCGTACTGTCTGTCTACGCATATGAGAAATTACTCGTTTCTTTTTAATTGCCATATAAGAAGTTCTAGTAATTTTACTATTCTCTACGTTTTATTATAAGATGCATTTTTCATAGATATTCAAATTTAACATTTTTATTATATATTTTTTCAATGATCGATACATATATTGAAACTAATATTTAATTTGTACCAAACATCTACAATAAAATTATAGAAAATTAAAGTAATATTTTAGTTTAAAATGGAGAGAATATATTTTATTAAAAGAAAAAAGAAATTTCACTGTATGGGTCAACAAAAATTGGCTGATAGAAAATCTGACCAATTTTACATGCATCACTTTTTAAAGCTTAGAGTAGGTTTGCATGCTCCTTTAATTAGTACTTAGTAGGTGTTATTGTAAAAATCAAATGAAAGATTTGTGCTATTATTATTATTAATCTCTTATAAACCATATTAAATATTCTGGTATCACTAAAACATAATGAGTTTTATTTATTTATTTGCACCACAAAAAGATTAATCATTTCAGCATGAGAAAGACACCTCGAATATAAAATAGGGAGTTAGTTAGTATGTCTATAACTTGAACTACAAGAGCATATTGTAAAATATATACTCATTCATTTTCTGCATTATCCCGATAATGTCACTATTGCGTAGCGTACGATTGGTATCGACACATTTAGGCATTCAAAACTACTATACTACTACCACATCGTAAGCATTTTAGCAATGATCACATCGTATATAATAAACCTAGACAATATATAGTGTTGTTTTGTTTATATGTTATAAGAAACTTAAAAAAAAACCTAGACGATAATGAGATGATTAGAGATGAGTGTTTATGAACCCGGCCCGTACAGTTAGGTGAGAAACCTAGCAACTGCCATCGTACACCAATCATCACAGAAGAACATTCAAAAAATAATTAGTACTCGATCATACAACTCTCTTTGAAAATAGGTGAAAAATATTT